AGTAGTATACTATCGTAGTGAAAGTTAACTTGCGTAAATCCACAATATTTACGAACCGTACTGATATACCCCCATGGGTACTGTCAGGACAGAATGCATGTCAAACACACGTATTGAAGTTCGTGTATAATTAGGATACGATGTACTGAAGTTTCAATAAATGTGGATCACATTGTAATTGTTTTAATTCTAAGTTTTTATTAGTTACTGAGAAATCTAGAAAAGAACTGATAATAAAGTTCAGTCTCGTCTCATGCTGACTAATAATTTGCTGCTGTATCGGAAATCTTAATAATAGATAAGACTAGCCCGCGACTCCGCCCGCGTTCAGATGACCAAAAACCAAATTCTTAGCTTTTACATAGTTGTATAGTCTTACATTTGTATTTTTTCTCAAAAATGAGATATGTAGACCACCAGCTATTGCCATACCAAATTTCATAAAAATCCTTCCAGTGGTTTTTCTGTGATGCGGTAACAGACAGACAGACAAAAATTCTAAAAACTATAGATTCGGCCTCTGTATCGGTAATAATGTTTATTTCAATAAGATTTTCCTAAAAATATTTAATGTACAGATTCGGCTTAGTTACAATTTTATTATATGTATAGATTAGGCCGCGTTATTTAAAATTAAATCTATTTACTTTATTATAATACGAAATACGTAAAACATATGCTTTAAGCAAGTGATAGCTCATTGGTAAGGCCTTTACTTTGAAAACCAAGTGAAGCGGGTTAATCCCAGGTCTCGTGCCTTTTATATTTTTCTGTACGCACTTCACGAGCGTGGTAGACTACAATTTGAAAAGTTTTTAAAAATCATATTTGTTATCATCAGCACCCTAATAGCGAAATGAGGCATGTGATGACTGCCGGTTACGGCGTAGACGGCGTAGGCAAATCACTCATTTGACTTTTTTAAATATTTGTTTTAAATTATTTAACATAAAACAAAACTGATTAAATACTTGTCTTAGACATCACAGAAACTATTTTAGTTAATTAATTATAGACATATTTGTTAACAAAACTCCCTTTTATCTGTACTTAAGGAGAGTATAACAGTAGATTTAATAAAGGGTAAATACAACAAACTCATATCTACAGTAATTGATGATGCTATCATAAATACCTTTATAATATAAAGACGTTTTCTCTAACTTTATAGTATAAAGTTTCAAGACTTAGAAGCTTGAAATAGCTTTCAAGTAAATTGATATTAATTTGATTATATATAATCAGGTAAAGATTTGGCCAAGATGTTGTTTGAAACTCAATAATTAAAGTTAGTATCGAAGTACGTTTGAAAAGTATCGAAATTTAGTTAGCAAACATAGTTTGAGAACAAGTTAACATAAATGTTAAATATTTGTTGCTCATTAATATTTACGATACAAACAACAGGAATGTAAACCATACTCTCCTTTGAACTTTTAATGAAAAAAATGAATTGTACATTAACACATATATAACATACAAACAAATAAAATTAAGTATAATTGTGATCAATATATTTATTTTCTTTATTGTAAATGAAATAATATTTTATCGGTGTCAATTACAGTGCATTAATAATTTAGGTTTAAGGGTTCAGCTGGCACGCTTTGAAACCATTAACAAGAGAATTGAATAAAAAATATAATTACGAAAATGTGTGACATTTTATTGGTTGACGCTTCTTTAAAAGAGCTACAACTTTACGGGTCTGATGCCCGATTTCACCAACTTCACCTAAGTTTAAGGGTCCCCTAAGCATGGTTAGGGGGCTGTTAGGGAACAGTCTCTGTTTTACCGACAGTTAGGGGTTACCTAAATATTAAAAGGCCCCCTAAATTTAAGTGCTCGAAATATGGGCTTAAATCAGGCATGAAAGTGACTAGAATAATATTTAGCCCGATACATGGGAAATGAGTATATTGTATGGCTAGAGTGAAGTAAGGGTCGTTTTCTAGTATACGATGATATGTAACTCATAAGCTATTAATGCCGTCTTTTAAATAGAATTCTAGAATTGTAATTTATAGTAGGATAATAATAGCACAAAACTGATGACAGTCGGATATCGGAATGGATTAGACGACTTAGTTATAAGGCTTCCCGCCTATATAACTGGGCTTAACAAACAATGTTAATATCTACACCAAATGAAATATAAAAGTTTATCGCAGATCACCAAGATACAGACGATTTATTGATATAGTAAATGTTTCACCATCTTTTTCTTTCATATATGAAAAGGCATTGGTAGCCCAGTGGTAACGCGCTCGCTTGGGAAACCGAGTGAAGTGAGTTCAAATCCCGGGTCTCGCAGCTCTGATATTTTCATGTGATTGATTACCACTTGTCTTAACGGTGAAGGAAAACATCGTGAAGAAACCTGCATGTCTCAGAGAACCTAGCAAGCTTTCAAAAGACATGTGAAGGCCGCCAATCCGCATTCAGCCTGATTTCCCTCGTACTGAAGGAGGCCTGTGCCCAGCAGTGGGACGTTAAAAAGGGCTAAATATATTAAAAGTAAATATTAATAAATAGTTTTACATAATATTATACGCATTGGGTTAGCTCAATTGGGTCTTAAACTCTTATCTTTACGTAATATACAGCAAAATGTTCATGTGCAAAGAATCAAATTCTCAACCACTCTACTAGGTAGTTCATACGTCTTCTTCAAGATATGGTCATCATATTTTACGTCCAGTCATATTATGGGCATAACATGTGAAATCTGTCCGCATAAAAGCCTACTAACAGGTGCTTTCTATGCGGTGTCTACAAAAGTCTGAGTGTAGAGTTAGTGCTACTATAATGACCCATAAACCCTACCACGTCTTGTTAGCTAAATATACAACACGTGTAAAGTGCAGAAAGTTTTACAAATACTTTGAAATATAAAGACATATTATGAGATTACATAGAATTGGAAAATATGAATTTTGAAATTCAGCCCAAAATAAAGGAAAATAATATGAAAACCGTAACCGTATAAACAAAAAATATTATTGCAACACTGAGTTCGTACATTGTATGTTGAAAAAACTCAGTACGCTAGTAGCAAGCCAAAACAAAAATGTAGTTTTTTTTCTAATCGAAATTTTTGTGACCGTTATGGAAATCGATGGGATTTATAATTTTTTTTCATTAAATATAATCGTAAAATTCATTGTATCATTTCAAGATTTTCGAAAGCGAATATTTATATTGATCTCACAGATATTTTTCCCAAACTAGTCCATAGAAAATGCAGGGCTTAATACTTATACTTCACACGCATTATCTTGATACAGCCAGACATCACTCGACGTGAGTGATACTTGATTTTATTAAGTTTTCTTAAAGTATATTTAGAGAGCTTTCATATAAATTTGATCGTCATTTATTTTGTTTCTTTTCAAGTGAACTCCTATAGTACATTAGTTTAGCTTAAGGTAAGCCACGTAAATGGTGTCCGAGTGGATCCATTATGTTTTGTTTTCTTGACTAAGTGCAAAGTCGTGTGAAATTCACCAGACACGTTCGCTGATGAAACTCTACAATTTGTTATCAAAATGTCTCGAGATCTCGCTAAGAGTTAATGTTTATTTATAGTTTCATAAAATTACACTATTAATTTTCATGTATGGAAAAAATATCATAATCAAAAAAATTAATACGGTTTTCATCAGACATTTATATTTTAAGTGATATATATTCGTATAATTCGTTATTTATAACAAGAACTAAGCCTTATTTGCTTAGAAATTTATATCTATATATAATATATGTACTTACTACATATAGTACAATGCGGGGCTTAGTGTAACTAAACAAAAATGTTTACATTAGACGATATCGTTGAATTACTTCTGTAAGTAATTACTTTGAATTTCCGTAAATAGATAACAGAAGCTAGCTAGCTAGAACTAACCCTTACTCGACTTAAGTTACTCGACTTATATGTACACACGGAAAAGATTGTAAGAATATTTATAATATGTATGTATTTAAAGGTATATATGTGTAGTGTATCAACTATCTGGTATCTATAACACAGGCCTCGTAGCTTACCATAGACCTAGACGGTGCTGTGTGTTAATGTCCTAACATTTACACATACATTTATTTATTTATTATAAGCTAATATTTGCTTATCCTTTAATTGAACTAGTAATAAAAAAAGTCATGAACGTTTTTTCTAAAATGTACTATCGTGCTTATTTAGAATGAGTAAGAAACTAAAACAATTTGTAAACGTTTGTCCACGTATCTTGATTATATACGCGCGGGTCTCGAAGGTGGGATAAATTTCAATTAACATATTTTCTTTTGTGTCTTATTTGATTTACTGATTCGATCTTACTCTTAACATTACAAGCTTTATTTTACGGTTAAAATTTGTATAGTATCTTAGAGTGGTTTAAACTACCACAGTCCACTGATAAATATTTGACATATTATGTATCTACTATGAAAATTAATAATAATATATTTATTTTCTCATCACAATAGCCATTATAATAAGGTTGTAATATCATTAGTAAACTTAACAAGTTACAGTAATAGAAGCCTTTGTAATTGTATCAAAATGTCAATCAATCGAAAGATATTTTATTAATTTTGGTACTGATATAGCAATTAAACTTCCTTACTAGATAATCCCATACAAAACAGAAATCAGGCTTTATACTTGAGAAATTTAAAATATTCTTTTTTAGAGTACACTTTTATAAGTATGCCAGTTCCACAAAACCCTTCAACTTAACCGCGTTGAAAGTCTTTGTACTATTTAACACGTAATTATCCATATATATATATATATATATATATATATATATATGTATATAACAATGTATATAGAGAAGTGACCATATTCTTATAATTTTACATGGACAGACATGCATTCTACTCTCGCTTCTCTATACATTAGCCATGTGTATTTGATAGATCCTATTACAACTGATATCCTATTGTAATTTGAGTGTATAATTCCATAATATTAACTTAAAACGTCTTTCCCAGCCATGAATATCACAGTGCTAGCGGTCGTAGTAGCGGTGTGCCTGTGCGTCACCGACGGCGCCCCGGACGGCCGGCTCACGAGGAAGCAACAACGTCCCACTCGCGGTTTCAAGAACGTTGAGATGATGACTGCAAGAGGTTTCGGAAAACGTGCCCGTACTGAACGTAAGTGCATATTTCTAGTAAATTACAAGAGTATACATACATACATATATTTATATGCCAAAATGTGTAGGTATGTGTGTATGTTTGTTATTTCTACACGCTGAACGGATTTTAATAAAATTTTGTACACAGATAGACTTCGACTGGAGGTAACACATACGTTAGAGACCTATTATATTTAATTAAAAGTTGATCATTTTGCAGCTAAATAAAGTGACATTATAAGCAGTTATTTTTTTATATTACATAATTCGTTTAGGAAATGGTAACAAAGAAAAGCCTAAGGAATATAACTGCTTCAAAGAAATTGTTGGCGTAAGTAATCTAAAATATTTGATATTGTACAACGTTAAGATGAATTAAGTTTTAAAGCTATTTGTTTTCTTATACAAATTGTAAATTAATTTATTCATTTCTCTTGTAATGCAGTTATAATATGAACGTACCGCTACAGATCTTAGCCATTCTAACTTTACTAAATAAACAATTATGGTGCAAAAACTAAAAAAGTAAGAGCTTAAGAGTAATATTGTTCTTATATAAAAAAAGTAATGATACAGCAATTTTTAATATTCTTTTACATTTTAAATAAAATAGTTTTTGGGGATGTTTCCCGATTATATATATTTTTTTAGTTAAGTTCAAAAAACTAATTAATCTACCAAAAATATAATAGTTTTATTTAAAAAGACTTACATCAATAAGAATACGTTACTAAAAATAATAACATGTAAATTCTTATACAACATAAACCAATACATCTTACATAGAAATGAAAAAGGTATTTTGTCATAAGGCGACGTCGAACAACAATCGCGGTCTGAACGTACAAATCGAGGTATTCCCACCTTTAAGAGTCCTTCCGTCGGAATCGCTAGAGACTTTGGCAAAAGGACACCTGAATTGGAGTCGGAAGGTACCATAAAGAATCTAATCGGTATTCCGGTCACTGAATGATGACAAATTGCAATAAATATATATAAGTACTGCGGCAACCTACGCACGACAGTACTCGACGCTTCGAAAGAAAATCCATTTGGACTGGTTAAAGAACCTCGTGATGAGGTCTTTGTGTGCGCTTGTATGTCTATAGGTCCAATAAAATGTAATTTACTACGAGATAAGACCTAAATTGAAAGTTTTTTCCAGGCACTGATCTGCTTCATGTATTTTTTAAGTTATAAAATGAAGCTTTTCAAGCCAACGAAGAAAGTTTCAACTTAAATATATTAGGATCTAAAGCTTTGTGTGGTGTTAGATAAAGTTTTTTATTATTTTAATGCCTTGTTTATAACTTGGTTATGTTTTAGTTATGAAAAGTACATAAAATTGTATATTTTATCTATAACAAAGCTTATTTTAAAGTTTTATAAAACATTACTAACTTGCCTGATACGGTGTACCGACAGTAACATTTATGCAAGCAGTACACAATTTCTCTTACATAAAACATACTTATTATCAACATTTGTTTTATCCACAATAATTATTTGACTATCACTCAAATAGCTTATCATTTATGATAACATTTCTAATATTTTAAAGTAATATGTAAAATATCCTAAAATATTTGATTATGTTAAATATAAAAGCAAAAATTTAATGATTATTGTAATGATAATAGCTAAAAATCATCACGTTTTTAAACACTCCTATACAATTAGTACACACATCACTTACAATTTCCAACAGATGAACAAATCCGCAGGAAGTTTAGCCCTAAATGCCCATTGATGGTGGCTTACGAATTTGGAAAAAGGAGTGGTAATGATGAAGTAAACGAAGAAGGTAACATTATAGATGAAGATACTTTGTGCTTCAAATGCTTCCAGGCTTACAGTTTAATGAAAAGTCAAAATCTATAGTTATTTATACAGTATGAAAATAATATTTATTTATATGTTATTTTCTATGAGTGATGCTTTCTTAAAATTGTATCTTTTAGTAGTCTAGAATAAAAATGTACGTCTATTACGGATGCCTAAAGTCGTCTTAAGATTTCGTCTATTAGTTTTAATGTTTTTTCAATAATTGGATTGATATTCTAACAGAGGAGGAAATAAGGGTGACCAGGGGAACTTTCAAGCCCAAATCTAATGTACTTATCGCTAGGGGATATGGGAAAAGAATTGCGAGCGAAGGTAAAAAAACAAAAGTATTTTCGTTCAAAACCATTAATGGGTCGAAAAGTTGACGGACGATCTATTTATATTTGCTTCTTCATGAAAATAAATGTTAAAATACACAATATGTGATTAGATATTTCATAAGTACCTATTATACTTTATATGAAAAAAAAGCTTCATTTATAAAATACCAACAATATAAAAAAGAGAGTTATTATATTAGTGTAAATAAATATTTATGCTATAACCCAGAATTCCCACAACGTGAAGTTAGGATGGCAAAAGGAGTATTCAAGCCCAACTCTAACATACTTATCGCCAGGGCCTTTGGAAAGAGGCAGGAAAACAACGGAGGTATAAGCAGTGTCATCATAACACGCTTCAAACAACATCCAATAACAATATATTGGACATCTAATATTGACATACTTCACAGAAGGCCTTAAAAATATATATTAATAAATGTTCCTACTGCATCGTCTTGGCAGCGGACATAATACACTTATACACGAATGTTTAATATGACAACAATATTAAGTATAGTTGCTTTAAGGCTGATTTCTCACCTTCTACCCTATGAGATAAAAATTGAAAATATCAGCCCTTTATGTAAGCTTATGCTGTCCTCTTGACGTGTTTTTAAATATTTATCAAAATTGTTAAAATAATTATGAGTTAACCGCTTAGTGGGCTTTATCAATGTCATTTAAACTTACTAAATGTAAAAGTAAAGCTTTAACAAAGACATTACGTCATACTGCCGCTGAAATGTGGCCTCCATTGTCACTGGATGAGGTTAAATGTTATTAAATTACTGTGGTTGATGTAATAATTTTATTATTGTCTGTTATGTATTTCAGATCAACGGCCAGATATGAAAATAAAGTGTTGTAATATTTTAGTATAAAGCCCTTAATGCTTTATTCCCATAGAACGTATATTTATTATTGAAACTATTGCTTATGAATGCTTTTATTGCAAGATTACAGCTTAAATTATAACATAAATTAGGATATAAATTATTTGTTAAATATTTGAATCTTTTGTTTGTTAAATATTGCAATCTATAATTTACAAACAAAATATATATAATCTTTCTTTCATTATTCCTTGAAATATTAGGAAAGCAATACTATAAATTTTTTTTAGTTATTTTTATAACTTTGAACTTAATTTTAATATAATATGTATATATTTTAGATGTATGTCTATTGAATAAATTTGGTTTAAGTGATCCTTCTATTTTACACTCTCTACGTTGAATGTTACGCTTAATTAGTATAGTTTTGTTTTAGCTCTACTTTTTCTGAATATTTTGAGCTCTCTATATTTCTCTATTATGTTGCTGAACTTCAGAGCTTTCAACAATTATGAATATTGCATTCATGCCTAGAGTAATTTTATATTAATTAAACCGAAAAATTATGGTTACTTGTTTCATAAAGTTGAAGTTCAAAGTACTTGGTTCATGATGAGAAGTATTTTTATTATTTTTTACTTGAAAATATACTGTAATATTGTATATAAATACTCTTTTATATTTTAACGAAGACGCAAGTGTACTTTCATATGCTAATTCTAAAGTATTACAACACTTTACGGCTCACAAAGGCAGTCATTTCCCACGCTTGACTATGATATTTTTTACAGTTTACGGCTTGGATAATTTCTGGGAGAACCTCGAGGCCTCGCAAGAAAAGGATGGTCTAGACGGGAACGATGAAAAGACGCTGGAAAGGTAAAATGTAAAATTTACCGTTGTATTTTCAATGTTATATTTATAAAACAATTTGTTCAAAAGTATAAGGACATGTAAGAAGAAAATGTAAATTTTGAACCATATTGCATTTCAAGAGGTGTTTTATAGTGATAAATTATGTAAACGTATGATACTCATGACGTATACATACGTGTACAATTGTACATGCTTGATAGAAATGTTAAACAAGTGTCAAAATAAACTTTAGTGATGTATGATGTAAGTTTTAGCGTAACTGCAAAACATTTTAGCTATATGTAAATACTAGCATTGCCCACGGCTCCGCCCGCGTTCAGATGACCAAAAACCAAATTCTTAGGTTTTACATATTAGTATACTCTTATATTGCAGTTTTTCTATTTTTTCTCAGAAATGAGACATTTACTCGTGGTAAAAAGTATCCCATATGTACCAATCCCTCCAGTGGTTTTTCTGTGATGCGGTAACAGACAGACAGACAAAAATTCTAAAAACTATATAACTAATGTTTATTTCAATAAGATTTTTAAGAATATTTAATGTACAGATTCGGCTTAGTTACAATTTTATTATATGTATAGATGTAAATATGTTGTTGGGACATTAGCACACAGCACCATCTAGTTCCATGATAAGCTACGAGGCCTGTGTTATGGATAACAAATACTTGATACACTACACATATATAACTTTAAATACATACATATTATAAAAATCTTGTCTCCTATATATCTAAAATTATATAATTTATCAATAGGTCCTTAAACAAAACGAGAACCTTACATAATTATAATTCTTAATATTACATTTGGCAACCTTTCTGAAGATAGAGCTCATATATTATTAATTAAGCTCATATCTTAAAATGAATAATGATCAAGCTATGAAAAAGATAAATCATGAATGCAGAAATATCCAGTTTTTGATGATCTATTTGTATAACAAAACGGATAATAATAGCAGTTATACTTATCGAAATAAGAGCTTTTAGTTCAGGAAACAAAAATTCATTTCCACACTAAAATAGTATTGTATTTGATAAAAGCTTCAAACAAGATCAAAGTTATTAAAGAACATACAGAATATTTGATTATTTAGGAAGGCCCACTATATCTTAAAATACACTTTTAACCCAAAATCTTTGACTTTAAAAAGTGATAATAGATTAAATTATTAATGAATTTGTAAAACTTTTCATACTCGTTTAATAATAACTAAAAAAATATAACTGATAACAATGAATAAATATATTTGCTAATTTAAAAATTATTTACAAATATGAAAAAATTACATATTTTTTATTGTAAATGATAACCTTAACCTTAACTAAAATACTTTAAAGCACGAAATTTTCAAAGTTAGATGGACATAACTTTTTGTTTGTCAAGTTTACTATATCGTTATAAAGCGTAGTCATTTCTTTCATTTGAAGTTAAAACTATTATAATGGGAAAATTGTAACAAGCCAAATAATAATTTGATATAAGGAATTAGATTTAGATAAGTCACAGAATTCATTTTCGCCCTCTATTTTCGTACAATTTGTTGGTTATATTAGAAGACAAAATAGTGATTCAAGTCTATTTTTACTTACATAAATGATTTAGCTACTTTATTTTATACTTTTAACACTTCATATGACATATTTTTTCGTCCACTATCAACAATATGTATGTCGCTTTATACTATAGGTGATAAGTAAATATTTTTAAGATGTTTAAAATATTTTAATATTACTACCTTTTCATCATAAAGATAAAATCCTTAAGATAGAAATTTAGTAGGATCCTTCTAAGCACGCATTAGCCCGCCTCTCTCTCAAATCTGTAGAATTTTATACTTTAGTGATTATTTAAGTCCATGGATCCACTTGTACGGTACATTGAGAAATATGCATATGTACCAATCTAAGATATAAACTATTTCCATTAAGACTTTCTTTTAAATCCACTTAGCCGTTATAGTGACGAAGTAACAAACCCACGTGGTCAGTGGTCACTCATAATGCATTTTTAATATTAGATAAATTTGCGCATTTTTCTGGTATAACAATTTTTTAAAACTCCTTTCTTTTCTTTCTCTTCTTTTCTTCAATCTGCATGAAAAAATAATAAAATAATAATATTGAAGACCTACTCCTCCTCCTTTAGTCTTATTACTTTAGTCTTTAGAACTTATTTACATGGTCCAAACTACTATATCGAATGTTACGGGTTCGATTCCCTAGTGTATCTATCTGTATTACCCATGCAAATGAAATTAGTATTTACGTATTTTGTTATAAAATAAGACTTTTAAAATAATATTCATAATTTATCTTAACTAGCATTCCCTTGGATTGGTTTGTCAACGAAATGATTAACAACCCCGATTTCGCCCGCTCCGTAGTTCGCAAGTTCATCGACCTTAACCAGGTAATATGAAGCTGTCAAATTTTTTTTTTAGAATTTTCACAATAGCAGGCTTAGACAAGATGTCATTCTACTCATTGAAGAAAAGAAATTTTAAAACTCTTTTAGTATAGAGAAATGCATTTGTAGTAATAAAACATTGAATTTTATTTTATTTAGTATACCTACATATAAGATTTTCCGAGAGTTAGGCGAATATCGGACATTTAAAATTTATAACTATTTTTTTGGCATTTACGCGGTTTTTTTTTAAATTTTTGTCTCTCCAATGATAATTTTTACTTTACTGTAAAAAATTTGAATAGTTTTATTTAAATTTGTAAATAAAATAGTAATTATTAACTCTAACTTTTATATTCATTTCTCTTGAACTTTCTAAGCGTGTGTTGCTTTAGCCCTATTGTAGTTATAAACTTCCCAACATCCCGTATTCATACTGTAAAATCATTTTAATTACTTCTCACCAACTTTACATGAATAAATTAAGTATAAAGATGAACAGTATTATTTATAATAGTTATTTGATGTGTTAAAAAAATTAAGAACTTATATCTAAAAAAAAATTTTTTTACAGGACGGCATGCTATCATCTGAGGAACTTCTTAGGAACGTCTAAAATGTTAGTTTAACTAGTTAATACACGAATGTTTCAAATGGTTTTACTGTACGAATATTTTTATATAGATTATTTATTTACGGTACTGTGATATGACATTTAATATTATCTTCTTTCTTGGAAAATAAACAATAATTATTTGTTGTATCGTTGTATTATTTATGGAAAAAATGGAAATCCTTGTAAATAAAAATGAAATTAAACGATGTCAATGTATGGTGCGGTGAAGCCTCGCCAAGACTTTCTAGCTCCGAAATACTTTCTTTACATGCCATTTAGCTTTCCTTAAACATTATGAGGTCTTATCGAGTGTAGCCGCATCATTATATTTGTCCATAGAAAATAACTGTATTTCTAATATATGTAGACTAGTACTTGTTACTTCTTAAATGTATTTATCATAAAAATATTTTCCTCTGTAGTATTAATTGTTCTAAACCTATTAAGTATCAAATCAAATATGAGATTAAAGACTTAATTAACGTTACTTATCTATATTTATAAATATGTCCCAACATATTTATTTATTAATTATTTATTTATTATCTTTATTTTTTTTAATTCGCTATAATATTTGTCAACACACTTTGTTTGAAAGGGGAAAGGCTTTTATAATTAAATATTTTATTTTATTATAGGCTGGGTTTAAAATTTTGAGTCAATTGGCTATTATAATAGATTCACGTAAAACTCTACATACATACATACATATATTTATGTCTACGATAGGAAGTTTGTGAAATATTCATATACTGAATGTATGAAGGTACCCCTTATAAATAGTTCGTTGTTATATATCGTATCAGAGTTATTAAACGATTCAATAAATTGGGTATCACATATGTTTTTTTTTTATTTTATCCTCCTTTTGAAAATCTTAAAATAAAATAGTGATTATAGATATACCTATGGATAGTAAAATAGTGTTTTTATACTAGTTAATGGTTTTAAATAATATATTATAAAATGGTATTATGAACTCAATTTCAATAATGTAGAAGTAAAGTTTCAAATAAGGATTACTTTAGTTTGTCTAAGTGGCAAAATTAAATGATGAGGTTTCATTTAAAAAAAAATTAATACAAGCCATTAATTCTAAAGTAGTTATCCAAAAAGATAATACTTTGTTAGATTTATGCGAATCTATGACATTTTAAATAAGTATATCTTTAAAAAAAATGTACTGATTTATTTTGATTTTTGGTTCCCGTCGCTATGATTTTTTTTAATTATTGTATAATTTAGTAGGTATGTGATATCTGTAACAACTATATAATAAATAACCTTTGAGACATCTAACACCCCAACCTCTCCCGTGAGCATGATTGCTGTAAAGCATTCGATACGTCGGAAACCAAAAACCAAAATAAATAAAAAGATAGTTTTACTTACAATATCACAGAATAGCAAATTTCCTTATCAAAATAGACTACATAAAATAAAAATAATAGTAGATTATAAATAAAAATGTACAAATTTCTTGGTAACAATTGCCACGTACATGAAAATATGGTACACATATTTCACACCTACTTTCATCTCGATTCACGTAAAGTTAAATGTATTTCAGAATTTCGCTTGAAAACTTCAAGCACTTTATGAACCCATGTTGGTTACACCACAAAGATGGCTTTTTAGAACAAAGATTATGCTCAGTTGCTCACTGTTTGATATTCAAACGAGTGTTAGGAATTTTTCCTATTTACGGATATTATTTCTCTAGTTAAAGTGTCCCTCGTTCTATACCAAAAATGAAGATACAAAATTTGCTGCAATTAATTCATTTTGAGTTATACAACATCTGTATTACTTAATATTATATGAATTCAACCAAAGACACATTCACATTTTTCAAATAATTTATTGGGGGTCTTTATTAACGCAATAGAACCCAAAACGATGACTTTAACAACGTTTGTTTGTTTGTCTGTGCGTTTGTGAGCGTTGTTGAGCGCTAATCTCAGAAACGGCTTAACCGATTTGGGTGCGGGTTTCACTAATGTATTGTGGTAAACTACTTATCATTTAGTATTTGTTTTATTACAATTGGTTCATAAATAAATAAGTTATGTCAATTTAAAGAACCACCTAGTGACGAAACCGAGCGAAGCGAGGGTAAATCGCCAGTAGTTAATATAAATTCTAAATTAATATTAAAAAATATTTAACTCATCGATTACGATATAATTATTATAGATGGCATTAGCGACTCCAAGTCAATACATTTACGTGGAAACTCGAAATAGTCTATTTCCTGCACAAGGGAAATAGAGAAAATGTAGAAAATTATTATAAACATCGTTAGCTTTTTTACCTGAATTCAAGTAAAAAAAACCTTATACTGTTAAACTAATTGTTATACTATTTGATTCACTACCAAAACTATTCGTTAAATGATTTTTACTAGTTACAATGCTGGTTTACAAAATAAGCAATCTTAAATTTATTCTTTGATAAACAGCGTACAGTCTAAACCCTAGAAACCCTAGAAAGAAGCCTAGAAACATGAAATTTTATATATTTTCATATATAATGAACAAATGTCAAAAACAAATCTATCCCACGGGAACCGTACATTTTTCCGGAATGACATATAGCCCATAGCCTTAGTTTACGGGCTATCTAATGCAAAAAAAATAATCTAATCGGATTAGTAGCTCAACATACATACCAAACAAACAAACAAACTCTTCAGCTTTATAATATTAGTATAGATGTGAGCGAGACGGGAATATTTTTGTAAATTCATCCCCTAAATGCACGCAAAAATATTTGGAAGTTGACTTCTGAGAAATCTTGAGAAGCCGATGGGGAAAAACGGGCAAGTAAGTATAGTAAGTCAATGTTAATCGGAACAGAATAACAATATGTACATATAACATGTACATTCATTTGTAAATTCATTAGTTTTTTTATGAAAATTCATATTTCTATTAATATTAATAGTTCTAATAACGGCTATATCTATCAAATATTTAGATATTTTTTTAAAAATTAAGTATGGTTCAAAGAAGTGGTTATGATCTGATTTCTTATTACCTTAAAAAGGCCAATATAGATATTATATTAATAAGTACCGCATTTGCAAAATATTATCATCATCCAAAGATTTGAAGACGAAGAAGAAGAGGTATACGTTTCATAATATTATAAAGAGGTAAAGTTTGTGAGTTTGTGACGTTGTAGGGGGTAATCTCTGGATCTACAGAACCGATTTAGATAAAATTTGGTAAGAAGGTAGTTAGAAACCCTGGAAAGGACATATAATATTTTTTATCCAGGAAATCATCCCTTAAGAGGGTAAAAAAGGGGATGAAAGTTTATATAGAGAAATCAAGCTAGGAACGAAACCGAGCGAAGCGAGTGTGAGTCGCTAGTAGTATATAAATGTGAAAAAGATGAATAATCTGAACCTTCAGTCGAAAATATTAGAGAGTCACGAAATCATTTTAAATATTGCTTTGTATAATTTATACGGCAAAGGAATGTCTTGAATCTCAATATTGTTCCATCGTTTGTGTTCCAGTTTAGATTCGCTCTCTGATCCTTTTAGTAGATATTTAAATATTCCAACGCAGTACTTGTCAATAATTATATAATTATCAATCTAACATCGTTTTAAATTTAAATCAAATAGACTTGTTATTACATTTAAGTTAAATAAAACTTATTTTTCGTGTTTGGGGTTCTATCTAAAACGCTATAATCTCTACATACTGCTTTCGCTTTTTCTATAGTTTTCATTCTCTTCATACATTCTCGTTGGTCCTCAAACTTTTGACTTTAACATACAATCAATATTTAATACTGGTCAGGTACTGGAAATATAATTAATATGTTAAAAATTCCCATAAGCTTTTTTTTCGACGTTTTTAGGTTACTTTCAGGTACTAAGACAGTAGCTATAAAATATCTATCATATTTACTTTAAACTTTGATTTTATGAAAAGAAATACCACTTTATAAATATATATTATATATATTAAAGTTAAAAATTTAAACAAATTTCTTCAAAGCTTAATGAATGAATGGCTGTAACATTACAGTTAAATAATTTTCGTACAGTTCAAATAATGTTTCAGGTGTCCTAAACTTAAATAAAAGACTTAATGTTTCTTTAGATACTTTATTTAACTTAAGAAAGAAAAGGTTAAAGACTCCTTTCATTTAATATTTATTCCCATTTTGTCATAAAATTGACTTATTGCTTTAATTAATACGGTATAGGGTAATATAGCTTCTATTTATAGTAGACTAGCATTGCCCGCGGCTCCGCCCGCGTTCAGATGACTATAACCCAAATTCTTAGGTTTCACATATTAGTATACTCTTACAATGCAGTTTTTGTATTTTCTCTCAGAAATGAGATAAATTCATATAATGATCATAAAAAGTATCTTATATGTTGACCCGGATAACCAGCTATCATCATACCAAATTTCATTAAAATCTGTCCAGGGGTTCTCTCATGATGTGGTAACAGACAGACAGACAGACAAAAATTCTAAAAACTATAGATTCGGACTCTGTATCGATAGTAATGTCTATTTCTATTAGAGTTTCCAAATACAATTTTATTACATGTATAGAAGAAATTCTTAAGGAGTTTTTATTAGTTTCACTTTTAACTAAAATCAAAGCTTATCAATTTTAACCTACTCTTAATCACAATTTCGAGTTGAAACTCTGTAAGTGGAATTCGTATGAAAATAAATTCATCTGATAACTTGTTTAGTTCTAATCAGTTTATTTATAATAATTATGAAGAGAAAGCTAGGCGGTATAGTGTATTTTTGTTTACTTTTAAATCATGTTTACATATTTTGGCAAGATAAATTAAGCTCAGAAGCGCTTTCTGATTCGCCTTCGGTATTTTAACAAACAGACGGCACTGTTTGTGTAATGACGATTTTGGAAGGCGGCCCATCTCGGTGGGTCTGAGAAGGTGTACCATGTGGTTTCCTCTTGGTGCTCCTCTGATAGCAGAATGAACCATG